GCTGTGATCTTATGCAAAGAGAAATCTGATCATGTTACACCTCTGTTCAAATTCTATTTTCCCTCCTATTCATCCTATAGTAAAAGTCAAATTCCTCACAATGGCCTAAAAGTCCCTTCACCATTGAAGGTTGTCTTAGTTTGTCCATGCTACTATAACAACATATATGAGACTGGGTAATTTATAAACAACAAAAATTTATTTCTCACAGTTCTGGAGGCTGAGAAGTCCAAGATCAAGGTGCTATCAGATTCTGGTGAGGGCCTGTTTTCTGTTTCTGAGATGGCACCTTGAATGTTGAGTTCTCTGAAGGGGACAAATGCTATGTCCTCACATGGTGGAAGGGACAAAAAAGAATAAGAAACAGGTGACCTCATTCCCTTAAGCCCTTTTTATAAAGCACTAATCCTATTCATGAGTGCAGAGCTTTGATGGCCTAATCATCTCCTAAAGGCCCCACCTTTTAATACTGCTACACTGGGGACCAAGTTTCAACATGAATTTTGGAGAGAACGCAAACATTAAAATCATAGTATGTGGGAAACCAATTGTTTCTCAAACATACCAGGTATACTCCTGTCTTGATCTTTGTATAGGCTGTTCCTCTGTTTAAAATAGTCTTCTCACTCCCTCTACTCCTGCAAATCTGTTCCACTGGCCTATGCAGGACACCTCATTTATAATTTCAACCTCTATCTAGCCATCCAATCCTCCTTACTCTGCTCTTTTTTTTCCCTCTAAATTAAATTCTAACATATTATATTTACTTATCCAACATGCTAGTCTTTGTTGTATCTCCTACAATAGAATAGATCTCTGAATATCAGATTTACCTTATGCTAGATGTATGATCCCAAGTAACTTCTTTTAACTCTTTAATAGTTCAGCTTGTCCATCTTTAGGGAGTAAATGTAACTACTTCATAGGATTGTTGATGAGAAAATTCAAACAGCAGGCTTAGCACAGTACCTGAAATACAGGAAATAATCTGTGGATGGCATATATTATCTTCAACCTTGGTGGGAGAATTAGAATTTTGGAAGTAACCAAAAAGCCACCTGTACTGAAGTCTGGTAAATAAAATGAGTAATAATATCTGATAATGCAATATGGGTGTTTCTCTTTCATAACTCATAAACCAGCTCTAGAAAAAAATTCTGGGAAAAAAAATCTACTTTCATGTCTTTTTTTTTCTCTTTAAATGTATTTATTTTTTACATTAATTCACTATACATCATTACAACATACAGATGAATTTTCCATCCAAAATACACTATGTATTGGCTCAATCAAGCACATCAACATACATGTTATCAGCAAATAATTTTCCAATTCTTATGTCTTGTATACTTTGCTTTTTGTTTTGCCATCCTTGATTCCCTATCCCTCACCCTCTGCCATGTCCTACCCTCCTCCCACATTGTCTCTGGTATCCATGGTTGCTTTCTATGCCTTCCCCCCCCATTTAATTGATTTGCTAATGAACTTAATTAGTCTAAATATATCCAATAGTTAGCACAGCTGATATATACCTATACATGAACCCAAGTCTGACTTTAGGCATAAACCTCAGTGAGTAAAATGAACATATTATAAAGTAGTACCCAGCTGGGGCTATATAGCTTACTGCAGTCATCAAATATGCATTTTTTAAAAATTTTGATACGAACAGTTTTACTGTTTTTTTTCCTCCTGCAACTTTTTTTTAATTACTTAACATTCATTCCCTGAGCATCATCACAACATACTAAATGTGGTTTCCCATCTAGAATAATCATTCATGTTATCATCAATAATATTCCATTTCTACTTTCATACATATGTATATGTATATATATGTTTTTTACCCCATGTTTGACCCTCTGTCCTTTCCCACTCTCTTATTACACTATCTCTGCTATATACAGTTGTCTTCCATTCCTTTTCCCCCAACATTTTGTTGATCACACAATATCATAAGTAATCTAACTACTTTCAATGCAACTTAAGCAGTTAATTTCAAGAAGAGCAGTTTTGAACTGGTAATGATATTTCCTTGAAACTTAAAGCCTAGAAACTGGTTAGTATTCTGTTCAAATAGTAGGTACATGCACCTATTTTCATGTCTTAAGCAATGGTACTTCCAATGTAACTCCCTGGAAAGGCAACGCACACTTGACTGCATAAATTCTGACGTATTTGTTAACCCCATGGAGTCCCAATATTAAGATAAAAGGACCTTGGAGGTCTTCTGCCATATCTCCTGCTTCATTAACTCCTCTTACGTTGTTTTCCTGCCAAGGAAAACCAAGTGTTCTCTAAGTATCTGGGTCAAGAACCTCTGGGGAAAGAATGCTAAAGAAGCTCTCCGGAGAGGGTGTCACAGAAAGTGATATCTTGAACTATACTGTGTAGTAATCCGAGTTCCTGAAGGTCTAGAAACCCAATCTGGGAATAAGCAATGAGATGCAAGGTAGCTCATTTGCAGAATAGACTTTCTGGGACCTGGAAGAACAAAAGGAGGGGCAGACTGACTCCCAGGTGAGGTGACCTCCAGCGATCCCACTACACATCCTGGCCCTCCTCTCTTTTCTCATTTGGCACCTCAGAGAAGAGGGCTTAAAGACACAGGGGAGGCCCAGCATGAGGCATTCAATCCAGCCATTCTGAGAAAAGGCAAAATGTAGGTTTTCCAATATAGTTGTATCTTTTGCCCTTCTCCAGGGTCAAGAATACTCTTCAAATTGCTTTAGAGGCTCAAAAAGAGACCTTAGAGACATCCTCATTTTCTAGATAAAGGAACTGAAGCCAGAAAAGAGGAAAGTGGATGTGGCAGACACAACTGGTGACCCACCCATGTTCACTTGTCCTACCATAGAGGTCTCCTACAGACAGTTCTCCTACCAAACAATGACTTTCTGCATTTCCCTGCCTGATGGTGTCCTCTGGCTTCAGGAGCATGCTCGACCCACATACAGAACAAGTCAGATGTGTCAGGGAGTTAATACTTCAGAATTGACCCCCAACCTATAAGGGGGGATAACTGAAGATCCATTCCACAAAATTTAAGAGCAT